TTTTTTTTTTTTTTTGTAGTTATCATTATTGTTTGGCAGGCCTGGGCTGGGTTCGAACCTGCCAGCTCTGGTGTATGTGGCCAGCTTCTTAGCCGCTGAGCTAGAGGTGCTGAGCCCAATCTGTGCTTTCACTCTGTAAGCTTCATGACCTTCAGATAATGCGTATCTCAGGCTTGGTACAAGCCTGATGTGAGGCTGCCTGGACAAATAGGTGTATAATTAATGCACTTTAGATCTCTCTGATCTTCTTTTCCCAATTTTGGGCCAGGTTAGAGGGCTAGCACTACTGGGTTTTAGTGCTGGCCTGCTAACTAACTTGCTATGCAAAATCCTAGACCACCATTTTTCCCTTAAGCAAAACAGTCACCATGAGTCTTCTTCCAGGAGGAGCCCCTAGCACCTACTCCACTCCTACTCTCCCAATAAATGGCCTTGGTTCTCTTCTGGCTGGTCTTTGTGGATAAGGGTGAGCCCAGGAAGGAAGCCCCAGGAGTATAAGGTGGAGTTTCATAGCCCAAGGTCACATGCAGGAGGCTGAGCACTGCCGTGTTTGTTTACAGATGACTGGTCCCACACTTGGAGAGTTGACTTCTAGTGTCAAGGAGTCCCAGAGGTGATACTTCACTGAAGAGCCATAACCATCAGGAAAAAAAAAAAATGTATTTAACGTTTAAATATGTGCCAGGCACTGATCTGAGTGTGCTGCAAGTATTATCTCAAATAACCCACACAGCACCATGTGTGATAAGGAAACTGAGGTACAGAGAGATGAAGTGACTTGGCCCCAAGTCAGTCACAAATGGTAGATCCAGAACTGATACTGTTCTCAGCATCTTTTTTTTTTTTTTTTTGTGAGACATAGTCTCACTTTGTCGCCCTTGGTAGAGTGATATGGCATCACAGCTCACAGCAACTTCAAATTCTTAATCACTTAAGCGATTCTCTTGCCTCAGCCTCCCAAGTAGCTGGGACTACTATGGTGCCTGCCACAATGCCCCGTTATTTTTTGATTGTAGTTGTCATTGTTGTTTGGCAGACTCAGGCTGGATTCGAACCTGCCAGCTCTGGTGTTATGTGGCAGGTGCCCTAGCTGCTGAGCTACAGGTGCTGAGCCTGTTCTCAGCGTCTTATCTTAGTTAATTCCTCAGAAGAATTCCATGAAAGGCCCAGGTGGCTCAAGCCTGTAATCCTAGCACTCTGGGAGACCAAGGTGTGTATTGCCTGAACTCATGGGTTCCAGACCAGCCTGAGAAAGAGGGAAATTCTCCTCTCTAAAAATAGCCAGGTGCTGTGGCAAGTACCTATAGTCCCAGCTACTTGGGAGATGGAGGAAGAGAATTGCTTGAGCCCAAGAGTTTGAGGTTGAGGGTGGTGCCTGTGGCTCAGGGGAGTAGGGCACCGGCCCCATATGCCAGAGGTGGCAAGTTCAAACCCAGCCCCAGCCAAAACCTCCAAAAAAAAAAAAAAAAAAAAAAGAGTTTGAGGTTGCTGTGAGCTGTGATGCATGGCACTCTACCAAGGATGACAAAATGAGACTGTCTCAAAAAAAAAAAAAAAAACGGCAAGTACATATAGGGTGTTAAGCCACGCCCCCTAGAGTTTAACCACGCCTTCTCTGCGCCCGTGAGGCTCCCTGGCCAGGTCCCCGGTTGTTAGGTTCCCAACTAA